GTTAAAGCCACTTCAGAGCCGCTTGTACCCAAGAAGCCTGAAAGACACGTTTAAAATCGTCGAGGCTGGCAAGGATACTAATATTGGCGAAACGATGATGCTGCCATTAGATGTATCGTCACTGTTCACCACCGTTCCGGTAGTTGAAAGCATAGAATACCTAGGCGACTTCATACGGGAAACACACAACCAGATATTTATGACAGTGGAGATGCTGAAAGAACTACTGACATGCTGTACACAAATGTACGGTTTCTCTGTAAAGGCCAGCAATGTGGCAATGGGCTTACCACTTGGACCATTCCTCCCAAATGTTTTCATGGGCAAGATCGAGGAAATGAAGCTCAAGGATACTATCAATGATCTGAAGTTCTATGGTCAATATGTGGATGACATCTTTTGCCTGACAAATAAGATCACTTATATCGATGGTCTAGTCCAATAATGTAATATGGCCCACACAGCGCTAACATTTACAGTGGTAAATGAGGCGAACGAGGAACTCGCTTTCCTAGAAGTCCCCTTACACACAAGAAGATGGCTCAATACAATACCGACTATTTAGAAAGAAAACCTGTACTGGGCAGTACGTTAACTTCCACAGCTTCGTTCCCTTTAACGTCAAGCGGAACATAGTCCGGGGAATGGCAGCCAGAATACGCTGTATCTGCTCTCATGAAATAGTGGAAGTAGAATTGCAGCAACTAAAAGACAAACTCCATGAAAACTTTTATGCGGAAACGTTCATCCTTCAGAACATCAAGGAGCGTATCACAAAGGTCGCAATTGCAACGGCGGAAAAGAAAGATTTATTCATAAGACTGCCGTTTATGGGAGACGCAACGAGTGAACTGTTGAGAAGGCGCCTGAGGACAGCAGTCACGAATGCCTTCCCGGCGGCAAACTTGCGGGTGCTCTTCACTAACTCTCCCTTTCTACGTATGGGAGGTAAAGACAGCTACCGTTTCAGGCCACATCTATGTGCATCTATTCTTTCACCTGTTCCTGTGGAGCGGGATATATGTGCCTGCATGGCTCAGCAAAGAGAGAATAGACCGACCTCAAGCTCAATCCTCGCCAACCTAATTGACACAAACCACCAAGCGGACGTGAAAGAAGTCTTTTGGGTGATATACCACACGCCGACACACTACTCCAAAGGCATGCGCAAGCGGGTGTTAGCCACAGCAGAGGCAGTGGCGCTGGTACAAGCCATATGTCTCCCTTGGCCGACTGCATGCGTAAATCCCACGCCTACTGCAGCCACGTCGTCTGAAAACACACAAAAAGAAGCCACAGAGAATAGTCAAGCGCAAGCTACGCAGCTGACATGCAGACCTCAACCCGCTGACCGCCGGAACATCCCCCCTGTCTTCTTTGCGCTTCCCAACCAACGTCCTACCCGCGCAGACGCTCGCATTCAGGAGACGAGGGAAAACCCGGCTGCTTAATTACCCTCACCCACTAACCCGCTTCCTCCCCCCTAACCTGACAAGTATAT